CCCCCCCCCGAATTGATGAATAAATTCATGCTTTGTCCATTCGTGGGGGCAGCTTTGTGCTTCGTGAGTCAATATCGCCCCAGAGGGAGACCACAGTTGCGATACAAGATCTGAAGGCCTTAGGAATGGACCTCAACAGATGGGAAACCTTGAGCTCTGAGCGTTCAGCCTGGAGGCAGGCGGTGCATCACGGCCTCTCCCAATTTGAAGAGACCCTTGTCCAGCAGGCCGAGGCCAAGAGGCAGTCTTGAAACCAGCCAAATCAGGAAGCTGGATAGGGTACAGATTGTATTTGTCTTCAGTGCGGACGGGAACGTTCACTCTCGAATTGGCCTTCTCAGCCACACTAGATGCTGTTCCAAGTCCTCCATACAGAGAGAGCATGTTACCATAGTCTCTTGAGACTGAAGGATGCCAACAACGGAGGACAATCCTCTTAGCCTAAACCAAAGCTGGTTTTTCTTTTGTCTGTCTGGCTACTTGATTTTAGAGCCTCGGCCCCTCTCTGCGGGAACGTTCACTCTCGAATTGGCCTTCTCAGCCACACTAGATGCTGTTCCAAGTCCTCCATACAGAGAGAGCATGTTACCATAGTCTCTTGAGACTGAAGGATGCCAACAACGGAGGACAATCCTCTTAGCCTAAACCAAAGCTGGTTTTTCTTTTGTCTGTCTGGCTACTTGATTTTAGAGCCTCGGCCCCTCTCTGCATGTCTTGTGTTTGGTTCGTGGGCTCTTCTTTTTTTACCCTTGTCCTGGCCCCCACCCCACCCCACCCTTCTGATTTGGCTCGATTGTTTTAAGATTGCTGTCCTGAGCCACGCTGGCCATTCAGCTTTCCATATGGAAAGGCAGGACACAGACCTCCTAGGGAACAAAAGAAAACAGACGCCACGGCTAGCCCCACATTACGAAACAGAGCCACCAGGACACGTGAGCTGAGAGAGCCCCAGTTTATTCCGGACGAGCAGAACCAAAAGATCCCGTCAAAAGGCAGCAGCTGCTGGGAGCGATGGAAAGACAACACCTGCCCACTTTTCTTCCTCCTCCTCGTCGTCTTTTAAAAAATGTATTGGTCACAGGCAGGATCCCTGGGTGGGTTTTTGCCTCCCAGTGTGAGTCGCAAGTGGCCGATGCAGTGGCCGTTCAGTCCTTCCCCTCTGCACCCAACAAGGCTGGCTGGCTTTCTCCTGGAGCCCTCCCAGCATTTTTCCCGGCTTGTCAAAGCAGCTCAAAATATCTTTCTCTCTCTCTCCTTTAAAGACAACATAAAAGATCCCACGCTTCTCTGGGAATCCAGATCTCTGGGTGATCCTGCTTGGGGGGGGTTTATGGGGCCTGGTGAGGGGGAAAGAGGGGGCACGCCCATGGCTGAAGCTGGCACGCCCGCGTTTGTCCGGCAAGTCCAGTTTGGGGCCGGGCACCCAGTGGGCCAAAGGCCCAGGCGGAGGTGCCGCAAGGGGGCTTATTTGTGGGCCCTGGGCCCCCTTGGGCCCCACTGCTGGTAACCCCCTCCGCCCGCAGGCCGAGACCAGGGCCACGTCTGTACCGGCCACTGGGTTTGTCCCAACCACTGAGTCTGCCCCGGCCACTGCTGAGTCAGCTGCGGCCACTGGGTCGGTGGCTGCCAGTGGGTGTGTGGCAGCCAGTGGGTCTCTCCCGTGGGTAGACGTGGGGTGGTGGTTCTGAGGGGAGGCCTCGTCAATCCCATGTTCCAGTTCTGGAACGGCGGCTGCCCACCATAGAGGGAAGGCGGGGGGCTGGTCCTGAGGGTCGGCCGCGTCAGGCCCCACTGGCCCCAGGTCTGGTACGATGCCCACGTTGGAGGGGGCGGGGGCCTAGTTTGGAGAGGAGGCCTGGGGGCCGGCACCCACCCTGGGTTCCAGTTGTTGATGTTCTGGGTCCCCCACACCGGCCGTGTGGGCAGCGGCCGCGGCGGGCGGGGCTGGGTCGGTACCGGCCAAACTGGGGGGTTGGTCATCACCGGCACGGTGGAGGCCTTGGTCTGGGCGTGGGCCCAGTTCTCGTACTGCTGGACTTGGTTGAGAGATGCCGGTTGCTGCCACGCAGGAGGCCTGGGCTTCGGCCGCGGGGGCGGCCAGGGCCGAGAACTGGCCCAGTTCCCAAATGGACGGTTTGTATACTGGGGGCCCGTCTGGTGCCATGGCCAACCCGTTGGCCGTGTCAGGGAGGGCTTGGGCGAGGGGCTCGCTTTGGTCGTTCCCAGGGGACCGGGCCTGAACAGGTTCTCCTTGGTGACCCCTTTGATCCAGTCCAGGAAGTGCTGCGTGGCGGTGTAGACGCCCGGCTTGTACGCCCTGGCGCAGCCCGTCCCCCAGCTGGTGACTCCGACGACCCAGAAGCGCTCGGACCTCGACTCTCGACACATCAGGGGGCCACCGCTGTCGCCCTGCGGCGGGAAGGAAGAGGGAGCGAGAGGAGGACAAGGCGTCAGGGCTACGTAGAGCTGCCCCCACACGATCAGGGCTCCAGGTTGTGCACAGGATGGCAAACCAGCTCAAAGGGAAGACCGAGGCGTTTGCCTGGGGACCAGCCGGGGTGGGAATTGTGTATTCCCACCCCTCTTTTCATGACCTGCCGGGACCTCCCCAGCCCATCCAAAATAAATGGGTGACAAAGGTGGGGGGGGGAAATGCTACTACTTTGAACCCTCCTGGCAAATAAGGAGCAACTTCCGCCCTCTTTTAGAAGATAAGCCATTTCGTTGGTTGTTGTGGGTTCTTTGGGCTGCCCGGCCGTGTTCTGGAGGTTTTTCTTCCCAGAGCACAGGTTGCTGTCCTCTGAAGAGGCCCATGGCCACAGAGAGACTGGCGAAACGTCAGGAAGAACAACCTTCAGAACACGGCCAAAGAGCCCGAAAAACCCACAACAACCATTTTCTTCCTAACGTTTCGGCCGTCTCTCTGTGGCCATGGGCGTCTTCAGAGGACAGGAGTCAGAACTCTGTCTGTGCTCTGGTGCAGTGTGTGGGATAGTTGAGTTTGGTTTAGTAGTTGGTGGCTCAACTATCCCACACATTACACCAGAACCCAGACAGAGTTCTGAATCCTGCCCTCTGAAGATGCCCATGGCCACAGAGACAGGTGAAACGTTAGGAAGAACAACCTTCAGAAGACGGCCAAAGAGCCCGAAAAACCCACAACAACCATT